CCTTCCACTCGCCAAGCCGGCCGCGTCGTGAGGGGGCCGGCAAGAGGAGTTGGGCGGCCGTGCGCATCCTGGCGACCTGAGTGGCGAACATGTCGGACATCGGGGACTGGTTCAGGAGCATCCCAGCCATCACGCGCTATTGGTTCGCCGCCACCGTCGCGGTACCCTTGGTCGGCAAACTCGGCCTCATCAGCCCGGCCTACCTCTTCCTCTGGCCCGAAGCCTTCATCTATCGCTTCCAGGTACTGACCGGGGCTGTGGGAGTGGATACTACGGGCCCCAGGCGGCCCCGCGGCGGCGGCGCGTAGGCCGGCATGTTGCGGGCGCGCAGTGCCTGGTGGGATTTGTAGTTCGTCCCGGCTCCAGCGGTTTAGGGCGGGGTCATGTGGGCCCCGGGAGGCCAAGGTGTCCGCAGCGAGGGCCTGGATGGCCGGAGGAGTGGGTTCGGCCTGGTGGAAAGGGACTGACTTCGCCCGTATAGTAAGATTGTGCTTCCCGCCCTCCGCACTCAGTGAAGGAGGCAGTGAAAAGGTAAGTCAGTGATAGTTGTCAATCTGTTGGACGCTGGTGATTAACACTTGGAGCAGTGCTCTCTGACCTCCTGTCACCCACGTGCGTGGCGTGTGGTTGTTAGCTTGACCAACTTGGAGCTGAGTTCTTTTCATGTTAATGGAGTTTTGGGTTTTTTTTCCCTACCCGATAGTAGTGATACAAAGAATGAGTTTATTTAACTGCTTTTTCTCCAGGCCCTAACCTAATATTTGGAGTGTAATAATTGGATGTTTGAAGGAATGGGTAAAGAGTAAATAGCTCCAGAAACGGAAAGCCTTGTTATTTTCTTAAGCATGAAACAGACAGTCCAGAGTAACATTTCTGCAAGAGAGTGTTAGTTTCATGGAGACTATCTTTATTCATTGAACTGTGATTTAAAACTTTAGTGAGTGGCAGGTCACGTACCAAGATCTGACATTAATTTCAACACATTAGTTAGCCAGTGGTTGACACTCTCTTGTCTTCCCCCTCCTCACTGGATGTAATATTATTTTTTAGTCTCCTTTGTTGATTCTTCATCTTCCTGATATTTAAATGTTGGGATGTGCTCCAGGGATCAATTATAGAACTTCTGTAGACATTTCCTAACCCTAGGTGATATCGTTCCGGGCTTTAAATACTGTTTATAAGCTGAAGAGTCTAGAGTACAAATAAAAATATCTTCAGTCCAGGTCTCTGTCCTGATTTCCAGATTTGTACATCCAACTGTCTACTTGAAGTTACCTCTTGGAAGATTAACAGGCATCTTAAACTTAATGTGTCCAAAACGGAATCCCCTTTCCTCCCTTTCCTCAGAAGTAAATAGCGAGTCCGTTATTAAGAAGCTCAAGCTAATAGTCCTGGAGTTATTTTTGACTTTGCTTCCTCTCACAGCCCACAATCTGTCAGCAAATCCTGTTCACTCTACTTTAGACAAATATCCGGAATACAGTTGCTTTTCATTCTCCATTGCAAGCCGTTATCATTCTAATCTTGTTCCTTTCCATCTTTTCTCTAGACAACTAGAGTGATCCTTTTCAAATGTAAATCAAGTCTTGTCAGTCCTCTGTCCAGAGTCCTCCAATGTCCTCTCAACTCGATGAGTAAAATCCAAGTCCGTTTAGTGTTCTGCAAGGCCCCCTGCTGCCTCTCTGACCTCATCTCCTACTACTCTCCACCTGTTCTTTAGGCTCTACAGTGAGATCCTTGCTGTTGCATGAGTGCCCTCCTCAGGGCCTTTGCACATGTTATTTCTCCATCTGAGGAAGATAACTGTGGCTTACCTGTTTACCTCATTACATCCTTCAGGTCTCTGCCCAAATGCCATCTTATTGTTAAGATCTCTGATTTCTCTACATGAAACAGTACCCCATCTTTTACTCTGTCTTCTTTATCCTTAATTTTCCTTTCTGTGTATCACCCTTGGTATTTGTTAGTCTGCTTTACCTCAGAGAATAAGGCTCCATGAAAGCCATATCTTTGTCTTCTTTACCACTAGCTTTGGTACTTAGAATAGTGTCTGGCATGTACTAGGTGCTTATAATTGGAAATAACTGGGCACTTGCTATGTGCTGGGCATGGGGGATACAATAGTGAATAGGACAGAAAAGGTTCCAGCTCCCATGAAGAAGACATATATAGAGAGGCATATGATGGAGAGTGATTTAAGGGGTGTAATATTTGATAGAGTATTCCAGAAAGTCCTCAGAGAAGACATTTGAAGAAATCTGAATACTGAGGAGCCAGGCAGCATTGGGTGGAACTAACTCTGGAGGGGACCTTCCAGGAAGAAGGAATAGTAAGTGAAAGACTGGGAGGCAGGAACTGGGAACAGAAAGAAGACTGGGTGGTTAGTACGGAGCCAGCTGTAGGGATGAGGATTGGTGGATGAAGATACAGAGATAGCCAGGGGTGAGTGCAGTAAAGTGACGATGGAAAGGTAGATTGAGGCTAGATCATATAGGGCCTTGTAGGTCATGTTAAGAGGTTTGAACTTTATTTTGAGGGTGTTATGAAGCCTTTGGAGCCTTTAGAACAAAGGACTGACAGATTGCCTGGACTACTCTGTGGAGTGGACTTGGTGTGTGTGTATGGGGAATGGAGAGAGGAAGGGCTAGGCAGTGGGATCAGAGAGAGTAGTCAAGTTAGGAGGTGAGAGAGATGGTGGTTTGGCTGTGAAGACAGAGAAAGGTGGATAGAGGGAGTTAGAGTGAACAAGATTACAGGCTAATGGATACAAAGGGGGAATGAGTGAAGGAAATAGGACTCAGAGATATCACTGTTTTCACAGGAGTAACTGAGTGGATGGTGGAGCCATTTACGGAGGTTGGGAATGTTTAGGGAGCCTCAGGTTTGGGGAGGGGGTATGAATGAAGAGTTATGTTATGGCCATGTCAAGTGTTGAGGTGCTTTTTAGGCATCTAAGTGGAGAAGTCAGTTAGGCAGTTGGATATAAAAATATAATCCTAGAGCACAGGCAGAATTGCATAGTGTTTTCTGTTTATTTACTTTAGTAAATATTTGTTAGTGGAGTGAATGTTGTGTACTTTTTGCCTGGTGGCATGTTGGGTAATGTGTGTGCATGGGAAGGAATGGTTGTAAATCATTTTGCGAAAAGTACCTGGTGAAAACTGGCTCTTTGACCCTCCTTGCAAAATCTCGGTCACTTGTGTAGTCAGTTTAGTAGAATACTTAACATAAAAAATCCTTTCTAATAGGTTGCAGGTGTGTAATGCACCTTCCATGATTTTGCCATCTTCTCTGCGTTTCTTCTTGGCTTCTTATCCCAGGACTGGGAGAAACTGCTGGCAGGAGGCAGGACAGTGTACTGACTGCTCAGCTGTGGAAATACCAGTAGCTGTACTTTGTTTCTACTTTCTGTTACTCTGACTCTTGCCCATTCTGGACAAGTTTAGCTTTCCGACCCACCTGGAAGAACTTGTTCCCAAATGAAGCTGTCAAGGAAAAACTGCATCTGAGAGGCTGATGTGCAAGGACAGTGTGAGATGTGTTTTAGTAGAATTCTGTTAGAGGCTCATCTTTTTTTAGAAGCTGGATCTTTAACAGGTAAAAAAAAAAGGGGGGGGGATGATTGATTTAGAATTATACATTCATGTTGCAAGTGACAAAAGTTATTTTTCTTATCTGTAGGTTTCCTCTGTGTAGGTTGTTGATTTAAAAATTTCAAGTTTAAAATGTTAATTCTTTGGTTTTGATAGGTTGAAACAAGTGTGTGCTAAGACTTACTACACAATTTTCCACAATTTCTATCTATTCTGAGTCCCTCAGA